GGTGGGTAATGGCATCTTTCCCTATAAAGTGCATATCTTTTCTCCAGAGTCCTGTGAGCCCTTGTCAAAACTAGCACACTATGCAGGTATTAGGGTGCCATTTGGGACAGAACCTTGTGCCATATGGTGAGAGACAGACAGTCATCTAGCATGGTAAATCAGATTATAAGTGGCACTGTGCATCACATCAGACAAAATACATCAATCATCTGACGATGTGTTGTTTTTTCTAATTACATGGATGGCAGATCAATAAAAATCACAGGACGACAGAGAGAGAGACAACAGAGAGAAGATGTAGGAGAGCGGAAGAGAGATCTTACACAATAACTGTTTGGCTACGTCAGCTAGAGGAGGACAAATGCTGCTCCCGGGAACCACGGCAGGCTGGCTGGCGTCTGTCTGATGCCCTGCCACTGTAGTGCCTTGGGGAGAGAGAGAGAGTTGGAAAGGGGTGAGCTAAAGAGAGAGAGAGGGGGAAGGGGTGAGCTAAAGAGAGAGAGGGGGGGAAGGGGTGAGCTAAAGAGAGAGAGAGTTGGAAAGGGGTGAGCTAAAGAGAGAGAGAGAGGGGGAAGGGGTGAGTGGAGAAGAGAGAGGGAGATAAAAAAAATAAAAGGATAGAGAAAGAGTCGGATGATTGAGAGTGAGAGAGAGGGGGGGGGGGGGGGGGGAGAAAGAGAGAGAGGTGGTGGCGCTGTCCCTGTGTCCCTGGTCTCTCTTCTCCTCTGGATAACCACATCCCAAGGCCCCAACCAGCCCAGTGGTTGTGCGTGGGTGAACACACACACACACGTTTCACACCGCAGGAGCCCAATGATATGTTGGGAAGAGGAGAGGAGAGAGGAGAGGGCAGAGGGGATGAGAGGAGCAGGGCCGGATTAAAGAAGGGGCATGCAGGGCCCCCGACCTCAAGGCTAAATGTGTTGAAGTGCAGTAAGTTGGCTGATTTCCATTTTTGTTTCTCCACAAAGCAAACAAAATAATAAAAAAACATGTTTTGGAGGGGTGGGGGGCCCCAGGAGGTCGGTGCCTCGGGGCCCAAATGCGGTAGTCCGGCCCTGGAGAGGAGAGGGGGGAAACCTGAGAAGAATTGTGTGAAATGAAAAAAAGCCTTTAAAAAACAAAACAACCCAGAAAAAGACTCTTAGGAGAGCATGAGTACTGTTTCAGTCTGTTGGCCCAGTGTGATCTTTACTCTGGTGTCACACACACATACACATACACACACACACACACACACACACACATACATACACACACACACACACACACACACACACACATACACTTTAGACCGACGTCACGTCAGGTCACCAGCTACTACCACAAATGCTGAGACAGACTATGGGAATGGGAATGTCATGGAAGAGGAAAGAACCAAGAATAAATCAAATCATGGGGAGACTGACTTACCGGATTTCTGCTTTAAAAACCTTGGGGATCTTTATAAATGCCTTGATGCCATTTGGCATCCTTTAAATAGGAGTTGAGCCATTTAGAGAAAAGTTTAAATAGGAGCTTTGCATTGGCTTCTGCTACTCTGGTGTCAATCACGTTCTGGGATGAAACTCAATGACCACAGAGCAAATAATGCCGTGT